CTCTACATACATGGATACATGCACTATTGAAATTACATTGGGAGATGTGAGACTGATAAGCAAAAAAACTACATTGAATTAGTCATGCAGAGAGACAGGTGCGAATGTTTTCCAGGTCATGTTCAAATAGATAAGGGGAGAGGGAGTATGAGAGATTAAAATGAAGATAAAATGCATCATGGCTCAATTACATCACTTAGATAAACCATTAGTCATTAGAGAACATATCAAGAATTGCAAACAGAGTAATATCAATAGTGATAGTCATATTAATAATAGCAATAATAATAATGTTGAAGTGAGTTAAAATAGTGCTTCTGATAAAAGATAGTTTTAAATGAATCAAGAATAATAATAATGAGGTAGAATGATAAGTAAAAGGTATTAACACGACCATCTCCTTTTGTACACTGAGACCTGGTTTATAAACTTGGATTGCACAATCCTCTACAATTGCAAGCATCTTCCTGTTTCTTTGTCTGCTGACAACAGTGAATGATTTGACAGCGTCGATATCATGTCCATAGTCCACAAGATGTTTTACTATTGAGGTTTTTGGCACTTTTCATTCACCTGTTTTCAGCCATTTTGGCAAATGCTCCATCATGCGAGTAGGTGACTGTCTACTCATTTCAATGTAGTTTATTTGCTTATCAGTCTTATATCTCCCAATGTAATTTCAAAAGTATATATATCCGTGTATGTAGAATATTCAGCTGACGAGTTCTACCGAAATTTGATGGATTCACTAAATCCTGCTTTATTAACCTTTGTTGCTTGTTTTATATTGTGGTAATATCATTGTTTTTAATCAATATTTTGAAAAGAAATTCACTTTACCACTTGTAGCATATTCCATAGATGATATTGACTTTTATATTTATTGGCATACTACTATATAAACTGTTAGTAGTTACGATGGTTAATCCTTATCTTTTGAATTTTTGAACATTTCCGTCCAGGAAGTAGGAGTATAACAGATACAGAAAAGGGAATGTGATTACGTTAATCTTCAGGTAAGTCAAAGACACTTATTGCTGTAAAATTTCTCATTTTAATACACTAATTTAGCCTAATCTAACGTGTTTTGACTTTTTTTATGAATAGACACCGAATGTGTAACTAGTCCCAAACTATGACGAAACAGCTGTCCAGTACTCCCAGGTGTTCAAATGGTCCTCTAACTGATGTCAGCTCGTTATAAATCCCGTAACCAGTTTATGTATAATTCTTACTGACTTTAATTCTTTTCAACGACTTCATTTTCAAGTTGTACGGTGGTATTTTTATGAGGTACAAAATTGCATCTATTCAGACTATTCACCCTGTTCCATAACCATCTTTTCATTCGACCCCTTGCACACCGAATTTTGACGTTCTCTTATCTAAATGCATGATTTTTAATAATTTTCGTTAGCAGCCTAACAGTTAATTTGTCATTTAATTCTCTCTAACAGGATATAATATATGCACCGCAACACTTCAGAGACTTTATCATCCTGATGTTTTATTTCACTATGACGCTCTAACGATACGCCTCTTGATAGACAAAAGTATGTTTAAATTGTACACAGCTGAAGAGAACCAACAAATTAAAATGGATCCATGCTATTCTGTACCAATTTTCGTTCTTTCTCTGCTCAAATATTCAGACAAATACTGCTCAGTCAGTACTCATACAATAAAAAGTAAAATGATTATTGGTGCGACGGAAGTTGAGATGAATGTGCCGGTAGGGTCGAATTGAACGAAATATTTCTTCGCTGAATAAATCTGTTTCCTCTTTTATTCATGAACAAGTGGGTATATATTTCATCAGGTTTATTAGCCATTCAGGTGGAATTATGGTCATCACACTGTCACTTACTAAGATGGCTGTCTGATCGACACATAATTATGGTAGGTAGCCCAACTTTCATACTTATTTATCGCTTGAGTAACACTTCTTCCCACACGTAGTATTTCCAGGGGCTAAGAGAAAAAAAGACTTTCTAACATTGCAAAGAGAACTAGAAGCTGTCGATCGGGCGAGTAGTGCAACCCCACACCAACTGGTCATTATTAATGTTGACAGATACTTGAACGAAAGTAACCAATTGGAAAAATTCATCCTGTCAGAAATCTCAGTAATCTCTCATCATGAATGATTATCCCCTCGATTCTCTTCAGGTTAAACAAGAACTAATTATAAATTTTATGCTCTCAAGATTAAATGTAGGAACTGAACGATACCATGCATTCGGCGGGCATTCTGTGTGATGAAAAAAGTGTAATACATAAAACTACTAATTTACTGAGCGACAGTAAACATTAATTAGTTTTCTGCTGTCACTGTTTCTGTTAATTTCTAATGTTGATTTCACATATATTTATATAATTCCTTTACGTTCCCTATGGAGCATAGGGCTTCAAGGTAGAGGCTTGAAGTTTCTGTAGCAATGGTGTTTATTTTTACAGGATGAGGCTGCTAGCCTCAAGCCCAGCCTTCCCTCTTTGTCAGTCATATTACTGGCTTAGCGAGGTAAAAGAGTGTGCCGGCCGGAGATCGAACCCCGGACCACATACGGCATGGCTGGCGATCATTCTACCACTGTGCCGCCGACGCACACATTTATAAATTACTGACACTAATGTCAGGTCAGTGATTTTATATGGTTCTGAGGCCTTTACAACAAGTTACTGCAGACTTTTATCTATAGCTATCCCTTACCCTCCTTACTTAGGGTCAGATGTCTACAAGGAATTATCCTCAAGAAACTCTGTCAACAAATCGATCAAAAACATATTGGCCAACACATATGTTTAAGAAAATGGAGATAGATCAGATACACGCTAATAAAACTGTTCGGAGACATTCCGCGTCAGGCTACCGTGTAGAAAACGACGATTTGGACGTCTGATAGTAACACAGACGACATTGTGTGAGGAGGCAATAAGGAGACTTGTGGAAAATTGCGGAGCTAATTAAACAGGACTCCGGAGAATACGGTGAAATGGAGATGTGCTGTTGAAGTTCTATGTTCTAGTCGAACCTAAAGGGAATAATATTAATATTGACACTGTTGTTACTGAGGTAGATGTGCTGCTAATTATTTTTCCCTTTACTACATCATGTAAATAGGACATTAGATGCGGTATTGTACCACATAGTGAGAATTATACACTGTGTTAAATGTATTATTTGGAAAGGGGTCATCATTATTATCACTAAATATTTTGACATGAAGGGTTCGTGTGGGTCATAAAATGAGTCATAAAATCGGCTAATTTTGAAGCAGCTTATACATAAATTCATAGAAAATTTCCATTGGGACATATGGAAAATCAAAACAAGCGAATCAGCGAAGAGACTCTTTCCAGTGAATTTATTATCAAGGTGTACAATCTTATGCGTATATGGTGTCTTTAAGAAATTATATCCGATGAGGAAGCTAAATCATAGGTGTGAATACATAAATTAATAATAGTAGTACGAAATGCAAATAGAATGTTTGTGATTATAATCATAGTTAAATGTCAAGTGGCGAAACAATTAATGTCATTTATAGAACAATTCAAAGAATGTGTAGAACTTGGACGGGGTGTGAAACTATAGAATTAGTTGGCAAATAGGACAAGAAATAAAAACCTTACGTAACATTGTGTTAAATTTTATAACAAAGAATTTAAAGTTGCAAAACAGATTTGATTTAGAATGACAAGTGGAACAAGTGAAATAATACCGGGGGGGGGGCAATTCAAAGTGAGAATAGTAATAGTAGCAATGGACGTAATTGACGAAGAGTATACAAACTGAATAAACAAAAATAAAAATAGGTAGAGCCAAAGTATGATGAGGGATTACCATACTTTAGCATAGAGCGATTAATACCATGAAAGTTAGATGGGTTGAACGAACTTTCTATGCATGCAGAGATCTGGCTTTTCTGTTTAGATGGCCAAAGATGACTTCTCCAATACAGGTGAGTCAGATACGTAGTGATTCGGGTAAATCACTTTTTGCCTTTACCTTGTAGATGACTTTAAAGGCGCAGGCTGTAGAGATAGGGTGGTCGTTATCGACCATATTTCCAATAATCGCACTTCTTATTGTTACACTTACACCACTTCGTAACCACACAGGGTAGTGTTCTTGCACCCTTTTGAAAAAACTCGACTCAAACGACCGATATCCCAACATATCATTATATCCAAGTTCTATACATCCTATGAATTGTTCTATAAATGACATCCTCGGTGGCAGTGTGCGTCGGTGGCGCAGAAGTTATGACTCTCGCCGATCATGACCATGGTCTGGGGTTCAATCCGCTGCCGACGCACACCTGATATCTATGGTCGGCCTGCAAAATTTGGGCTACCGATATCACTTGCTGAAAATACCATACGTGTGCCAAAAATAAGGTGTGGAATCAAGCTGTAATCAAAAAAATATATAAAAATATAAAACTGTCTCGCCACTTGACATTTATCTATGATTATAATCACAAAGATTCTATTTGCATTTCATGCTACTCTTATTAATTTATGTATTCACATCTATGATTAAGCTTCCTCATCGGATATAATTTCTTAAAGACAACACATATATATACGATTGTACAACCTGATAATAAATATATTTTAGATGAAAAATACAGATCTTTTATTTCATCAGCTACATAGATTAACGATATTCTATAGTTTGGTTTGTAAGCGTTTGTTATGTTTTTACGAGTTGATCACGGACTGATATCAGCTAGCGAACCACTAAAAACCAGGGAGTACTGGACAGCTGCTGTTTCATCCTAGTTTGCGATTCATCGGTAGTATGCAATCATTGCCAGGGTTCGAATCCAGGACATTCCGGTTACAAGGCAAGCTCGTAGGATGAAACAACAGCTGTCCAGTACTCCCTGGTTTTCAGTGGTTCTCTAACTGATATCAATCCGTGATCAACTCCTTAAAAGATTAGCAATAGAAAAAATGGTGTTTTTTGTTGTTATACTTCTTTAATTACTTACCCGGATTAATTGATTTTATGCGTGTATACATCAGGATAAATAAGAGACTGACGGATAAAAGATACATTTAATCACCCACTGCTGTTACCTTTGTTATCGACTTTATATATGTATCACATAAATACTGTGTAATGCTTAGTTAATAATGTCTCTTTCGAGTACTATTAATTGTATATTCATGCATAGAAGTATATGTATGATTGTAGGCAAAGGATCCGACTGATAGATAGATAGATGGTTCTACTGATGCACTGAAGTTTATTCCTTCATTTATTATTAATACTTTCTAAGTTATCTGTCTTTAATGAATTTAAAGCGTTATATATACACATACTGTTAACTGTCAATTCATGGTAAAACGTTTCCTGTAACAATTACTGCATTCTTTATTGACATGTTGGAAACAAAAATGTCAATTTCTCATGTATAAAAAATTGACCAAAAAGAGGTGAGATAAATTTTGGTCAGGTTTATGTTTGTGTTATATCATCAGATGTCTATTCCGTAGTGAAAACACACTTATTAAAGTGTAGTAAATATTGAATGTAATGTTAGACAAGTAAATGTCAATTTTGATTCACACCAAATCAAATAATGATGAATAGTACAATAAGCCAATCAGAATGCAAAGATTTCTTAACCAATCATAAGTCAGTATTTTTACAAACCACGCTATACTATTTTTGACACATTATCTAATAAAGATAAACAGCCCTAGATGGTTGGAGGCGATCGCCAGCTTAAGTGCTTGTCAGTGGAACTTGTCTGCAGGACGTATGTGCATTCTGGAAGGAACTGGTGTTCCCTCTGAGATTCAAAATCATATCATATTTTTACTGCAGCACTGAGTGATACGGGTTTGAATCTCAGAGTGGATATGAGTTCCTTTTAAGATTGCAGATATGCCCTGCTGACGAGTGCTACCGAAAATCACACAACCTAGCTCCAAGGTTTCCTATTGATTGCTTTTCACTATCTAAGATCATTTCAGAGTACATCATGATGGCAAGCCAGCTACCATAGCGGCCAAATTGCAAACCGGACTAAACGGATGACGCTGGTTACTTCCGGGTGAACAGCCAAAGGTAGACGTTGTTCCTTCTTCCACTTGACTATTTTCACTATAACGACTGTGTTTATATAGTTATTATGTTTTTAAAATCCTGAATATTAGTTTAATGGTTATGATATCATTCTTAATCTCTTGGGTTCTGAGTGGAACATATAGGTTCAATAGCACATCTTCATTTCATGCTGTTCTCCGCAGTCCCATTTAGTTGGCTCCACGATAATCCATAAGCTTCCATCTCCTCCTCACCCTGTTTCGTCCGTGTCACCCTTGGACGTTCAACTGGCCTCCGGGTTCCTGTTTTAGTTTCCGTCTGGGGCCTACTGCAAGAGGCCACTCGACGGTAGCATTAGCATGAATCCAAACAATCTCCACTTTATTTGGCATACGTGTTGCTCCACAGGATCTCGGCTTTTGATCCCTTCTGGCTGGTCACCTTATCTTCAGTGCGAGATGAAGGTAGCTGTTGATAGAAGTCTTCTTAGGCCTGTTGGGAATGCTCCTCATGACAAACATGCCAATCCTCTGAACCATGTAGAAGCGCTGACTTGGCATTAGTGTTTACAATCCAAATCTTGTTCTTTGTGCTTATCACAGTAGATTTCCATGGTGATTGCAGATACATGAAAGTCTGTGTTGTCTTCCCGATCCTGTAATCTTAGAGACTCATTCATTTTCTTTGAAACAGCTACTGAGATTTAGGTGTTTTTTATTCAGTGATTATGTTTTTCGATGAAAGATAAACTGAGTGTCAGCTGTTTCAAATCGAAAAGTTCTATCTACCAGAAGGCTAACGATTCATCAGAAATATACCATATACGAAAGGAGATCACTTAAAACTCCCCCCCTCCGCGCACATGAGGGATAAAGTATCCCGAATTACACTTTGGGTTGCCAAAATACGGAAAGAAGCAAAGTAAATTTCGTAGTTTTAAACTGAGGCATTTGTTCAAATGACCTTGACTTCAGTAAACACTGATTAGTTTGGTCTAAGTGAATCAACGACGGCTGTCTGCTAAATTAAGTTCATAGTTTCATAATCAAAGTCATCAACGGCCATATAAGATACCAAGCAGACAACTATGAACACAAAGACTGAACTAACATAAATTTGGTTGAGAATTATTGATTTCTCTTCCTTTCTCAGAAAATCAAATAAACATCAAGGAGAAACGATCATTTGAGTATGAAATTATTCAGAATTGTTGATTAAAGCTTTTGTAGATAAATTGCTGCAGTTTTTTATTACCATGACTATGTTGCAATCGTTGAGGTAAACAAGCCTTTTCTATACTTTCCAGTTACCTACTTATCATCGAATTTCCGAAAAATTGATAAATCTCCTCTTATCTTCTCTTTGTAAGAATTAACACTTCAGGCCCGTTTCGTGTATAAGGCTTTAGCATCTGATGATTTCAGTCTGGTTTAATACAGTCCACTAACTCTGTTCCCTTGCCAACTAACAAAATTCAATCAAATTCAGACTTTCCCTTCGTTTATAAGATGCGCTTCCTTTCTACATTAAATGAGTCTATTTGATATAACATACTGTGAGTGTTACAGTATTAATGACTGGGTGCTATTTTGGACACACTTTACTGTTGCTTGGACACGACTTGATAACTTGCCTTATATAGTCCAACTTCATGTTGTTTTCTATTGTGATTTTCAACGCATCCGGCGTAAAGGCGTTGAGTCATTTTGGTTGTATGTGTTTGGTGTTGATTCAGTGGACAAAGATTCGATGATTCACCTCTCTCTATCTCTCTCCACCTAGCTATATCACTTTTTAATACTTCTACCCTGCTCCGCTCTGTTGTGTGATTACGCACAAGTGAGTATACCCTCTGGCGGTGCTTCTTTATGTGGCAGCATTAACAAGACTATGAACTCCTAATTATTTTCATTACTTTTACTACTTACATTTCTAGTGATATTTTTCTTATGGATTTTTTTCCATGAACGATAATATCTAACCTACCATTCTGGTTTCATTTTATTTTACACTCTAGCATAGCTAAATCACCATCTTCGAACTTGTAAGCCTTGGTCAGTTTGATTATTGGAATATACGAACTTAGCTAGAGGTAGAATTATCGACTCTGCTAAGTTAGCTGATTGAAATAAAGACAGGTCATTGCAATACATTCACCTGTATGAAACTGCAAACTAGCGTGGGAAAGGATAAAATTATTGAAGAGTAATATGCAATCGGATTGATGCAACACCTATGCTGTATTGATGACAAATTGCAGTAAAATACAGGAGGCGGACTGATAGTATATTTAGCAAATTATGAGGTCATGTTAATATGGTGACTAGGTTATGTGCAGTAATAAGTTAGTAATACTACATCACTCACTTTGTATTACATGAAATAAACCTATTTGACCCGAAATAATATTCTCATCAAGTTTTACTCTTATATGATCTCGCTTTATGGAATATCTTAAAGCAAAAAAAAATCTATCGTTGGCATTCCTTGCAGTTGAAGACAAGGATAACCCCATTTTAAGTCTTAACAGGTAGACCAAATGACGTCTGAGTTATTTCTGAAAACCTTCATATATCAGTTAAGTAATTCAATGAGCGGTGACTAGCAGTTGAAGCCAGGAGGCATATTTTGCCAGCTGGGTGTACCTTCAATCTCCAGTGACTGATGATCTTTACACTCACACTCGGATCTGGTACCTTTCTCTTAAAACGCCTAAGCGTTATTAATTATATCAAATGAGCTCCAGCTTTATACAGATCATTGACATATATATTAATAATTCACATTGTAGCATTAAGAACACAATGTTCAGCGAAGAGACTACTGTCTTATCCTCTCATGGACATATTTAATGAATCTTATTCCACAAATGACGTGCCAGCCGTTTGGAAGGAGATTAAAATTGTACTTTTACCCAGGTCATCTATTGGAACATGTTTTAAATTTAGACCTATTGCTATTACCTATCCTTTTCTAAAAACTATGGAAAAGTTGCTCTTACTTAATCTTCAACCTTCACTTAAAGCCTTTAACGATCCCAAACAGTTTGCCTACAAACAAAGTAGAAGTACTTCATATCCAGTTGTACTGTCTCCAGTTTAGACAAGGGGGCTAAATTTGTTCTTTGCACCTTTCTAGATTACACATCTGCTTTCGACTCAGAACCTAGGGACATTATGTTAAACAAGCTTGCTGAAACTCAAACTGACTGTTGGGTTGTCAAATGGCTGCATTCTTATTTCTCAGGAAGAAAGCAGTACACTGAGGCTGACGTCGCTCAAGGCGCTCTCCTTTCTCCTTTTCTGTTTTCCTTCCTCTTGAATGACTTAACTCACTCTGATGAAATGGACTTTGTTAAGTATGCGGACGATCTAACTGTTTCAGTGTCTGTTAACTCACCATCAGATTATACTAAGATGAACAGATTTCTATCAGGAGTCAGCAAATGGTTTTTGTCTAATGGCCTTAAACTGATTCCTTCTAAATGCCAGACTGTTAACTTCAGTTTCCGATGTAAACGAAAGTTAAATGAAGCTGTAAATTTCTATGACCGTTGCAAAATTGATGATAGTGGTACAGAAATCAGGTCTGAAGTTAAGTATCTTGGATTAATTCTTTTTGCTGACCTATCCTGGTCTTTCAATGTCTTAGCGATTTCTAAAAGAATATTTTGGTCTGACTTTTTACATCAACAAATTAAGGCACTCAGGCATAACTCAACCAACGCCTCCTCTTACAGTTTGTCAACTCGTGCATCTTACCTATTATTCTTTACTGTTCACCCTAATTCTTTCCTGGGTTGCTTAAAAAATATGACTATGTCATACTTCGTAGAACTCTGAAGGCTGTCAATCAATAGGGCGAGTGGTATCCGATTGGGCCATATCGTTGACATTGTCATTGATAGCCACTTGATTACATGTAACAAATCTGTTAAAACAATTTTGTCAGACTGTGAGCATTCCCTTTACCCGCAGCTCCAACCTTGTGTCTCCTCAGGTAA